TCATGTTGCTTACATCGATTGTCCGATGGTGAGCCTGGCTTTGAGATCGAACCTAAATGTCTTATTTAGTTAGGTATAGGTACTTGGATGCATCTTAGAAAGTTTAATAGATTCATGGTGAGTTTTTACTTTTTGGGGGTGCAATTCCATTTTATTGTTTCTGTATTTTTCATGCTCCTATAAGAAAACTTACAAGATTCAGTTGCTTTATACCTGGCTGCTTCCAGCACGTATTATTGTACATGTCAGTGTGTACCACAACTCTGAGTGCCTTCCACATTGAACTGATGTGTAGGTATAGGTATATGTGGATTGGATGGATGATTACATTCTATGAACTTGTGATTCACATATGCTCTATGCTCAGCACACTAATGCTTTTTGTACACTAGGATAAGGCTTATTACAAAGAGATGAAATAAGCAGGTATAGTGAACTCCAGACCCACTTACCAAGGTCCTTAGATTTCACATGTGACATTTTTAGATTATGTGCACCTTCTCTATTTATCATATGGAATATCTGCTGGATTTGAAATTAACATTTTGCATTTTGGTTTATTCTAATTTCATATCAAAGGTCATTTTGCATTTCAGTTTATTATAATTTTACGCCTATCACTTTAATAGGACACCATGTATACTATAGGGATCCTTATACTATATGACTCCCATACAGTTCTTTCTTTAATTAAACGCTATTTTCTTTTCGCATTTACTTTGAAGTTTGAGGTCCCATCGATCATCTTAATGGTAGTTTTTGTCCTGCAATCTACATGTGATTGCTCAAAATACCAATTAAGTCCACCTTTATAGTGGTATAGGAAGTTAATCCTAGTGATTTTTTTGTTTCCTTGCAGCCTTTTGATCTGATTTCTTTAACTCAAGATTTCTAAAATTTCATGTTCATTTTCTTCAGAGACAATTGCAAAAATGGGACTATAAACATTGGTCGTTTGCAGATTTGACACTAGACCCACATTCATAAACATAGATGGACCCATTTGTCATCCACCCTAGTGTCAACATGATCAAAGAGTCAATCTTTGGAGTCCCAAATATCCAATTTTCTCTTTTCTTCAACTTGGCTTCTAAGACTTGCAGATTTATGACATTCCACAATAGGTGAAATGTACAATCATGACAGTTGCAGTTTGCCAATGGTACCTACATTGCCAGTGCTACAAATAAATAGATTGTACAATGCACTTTATTTCATATTTTGTTTTCCTACAACAACAACATAGTCTTTCAGTCTCAAGCAAGTTGGGTAGGCTAGAGTTGAAACCCACCAAGAGCCCCAAGTCACGGTTTAGGCACTTCAATAGCTGCTTTCCAAGCACTCCTATTCAAACATAGATCTCTAGATATATCCCAAGCTTTCAAATCTCTTTTTATTGCCTCTCTCCATGTCAATTTTGGTTTTCCTCTACCTCTCCTCATATTATTATCTTGGCTTAGGACTCCACAATGCACTGGTGCCTCTGGAGGTCTCCTTTGGACATGGCCAAACCACCTTAACCGATGTTGGACAAGCTTTTCTTCAATTGGAGCTACCCCTAGGCGATCACGTATATCATCGTTCCGAACTCGGTCCATTCTTGTATGACCACAAATTCATCGCAACATACGTATTTCTGCAACACTGAGTTGTTGAACATGTCGAATCTTTGTAGGCTAACATTCTGCTCCATACAGCATAGCCGGTCTAATCGCCGTTCTATAAAACTTGCCTTTTAGCTTTTGTGGTACCCTCTTGGCACAGAGAATGCTAGAAGCTTATCGCCACTAGGTCCACCCTACTTGATTCTATGGCTAACGTTCGCATCAATATCTCCATCTCTTTGTAGCATCGATCCCAGATATCGAAAGGTATCCTTATTAGGCACTACTTGACCTTCCAAACTCACATCTCCCTCCTTCTGTGCAGCTCCGTCAAAGTCGTATCTCATGTATTCGGTTTTAGTTCTGCTCAATCTAAAACCTTTAGACTCAAAGGTCTGCTGCCATAACTCTAGTTTTCTATTTACTCCCGCCTGACTTTCGTCCACTAACACTACATCATCAGTGAACAACATACACCAAGGGATATCCCCTTGTATGTTCCTGGTAACCTCATCAATTACCAAGGCAAATAGATACGGGCGTAACGTTGACCCTTGATGAAGTCCAATTTTAATCGGGAAGTAATCTGTGTTACCATCGTTTGTTCTAACACTAGTCACAACATTGTTGTACATGTCCTTGATGAGGGTCACGTACTTTGATGGGACTTTATGTTTGTTCAAAGCCCACTACATAACATTTCTTGGTATCTTGTTATAAGCCTTCTCTAAGTCAATGAAAACCATGTGGAGGTCCTTCTTCTGTTCTCTAAATCGCTCTATAACTTGTCTTATTAAGAAGATTGCTTCTGTGGTTGACCTTCCGGGCATGAAACCAAATTGGTTTGTTAATATTTGCTTCTGTGGTTGACTTTCCGGGCATGAAACCAAATTGGTTTGTTGATATCTGCGTCGTTCCTCGCAGGCGCTGCTCGATGACTCTCTCCCATAGCTTCATAGTGTGGCTCATCAACTTAATTCCCCGATAATTAGTACAACTTTGGATATCTTCCTTGTTCTTGTAGATTGGTACCAATATGCTTCTTCTCCACTCCTCAGGCATCTTGTTCGATTGAAAGATATTGTTGAACATCTTGGTTAGCCATACTATAGCTATATCCTCGAGATATCTCCACACCTTGATTGGGATACCATCAGGGTTCATCGCTTTGCCCCCTTTCATCCTTTTCAAGGCTTCTCTAACCTCCGATTCTTGAATCCTCCGCACAAAGCGCCTATTAGTGTCATCAAACGAGTCGTCCAGCTGAACGGTGGTGTTCTCGTTCTCACCATTGAACAATTTATCAAAATACTCTTGCCATGTATGTCTGATCTCATCCTCCTTCATCAAGAGCTGCTCCCTCTCATCATTTATGCACTTGACTTGATTAAAGTCCCTTGTTTTCCTATCGCAAGCCCTAGCTATCCTATAAATGTCATTCTCTCCTTCCTTCGTACTCAACCGTTGGTAAATGTCCTCATAGGCTCGCCCCTATGCCTCACTCATCGTTCGTTTTGCAGTCTTCTTTGTCACCTTGTACTTCTCTATGTTGTCTGCACACCTGTCATGATACAAGCGCTTATAGCACTCCTTTTCCTTAATAGCCTTTTGCACATCTTCATTCCACTACCAAGTGTCTTTCGAGTCGCATCCGCTCCCTTTGTTCACTCCAAGCATCTCTGAAGCAACCTTCCGAACACATGTTGCCATCTTCTTCCACATCCTATTTGCATCGCCTTCATTCTTCTAAGGGCCCTCTTCAATGACCTTTTCCTTAAAGACCTCTGATGCCTCCCCTTTTAATTTCCATCACTTCATTCTAGCAACCCTAACTTGTTTGTTCCCACGAGCTTGAACCAGAAAGCGGAAGTCAGCCACCACCAGCTTATGTTGAGCGATCACACATTCTCCAGGTATCACCTTACAGTCCACGCATGTTCGTTTATCTCTCCTTCTTGTAAGGACAAAGTCGATTTGACTAAAGTACTGACCACTACTAAAGGTCACTAAATGGGTCTGTCTCTTACGAAAGAAAGTGTTAGCTATCATCAGATCAAAAGCTATAGCAAAGTCTAAGACTTCCTCTCCCTCCTGGTTCCTACTACCATATCTGAAACCCCCATGAACCGCTTCGAAACCTGCACTTGATGTACCTACATGGCCATTAAGATAACCTCCTATAAAGAGCTTCTCGCTACTAGGGACAGCTCTAACCAAACGATCTAAGTCTTACTAGAAAAGCCGCTTAGCACTCTCATCATGGCCTACCTGGGGGCATACGCACAAATTACGTTTAAAACCATATCACTAATGACAAGTTTAACTAAGATGATCCTATCCCCTTGCCTTCTCACCTCCACCACTCCATCCTTGAGGCTCTTATCAGTCAAAACTCCTACTCTATTTTTATTTGCAGTTGTCCCTGTGTACCAGAGCTTGAAGCTAGTATTGTCCACCTCTTTCGCCTTTTGCGCCTTCCATTTAGTCTCTTGGACGTATAAGATATTTACACGCCTTCTAACCGCTGTGTCCACTAACTCTCTTAACTTATCCGTAAGGGTTCCTACATTCCAGCTACCTAAAGGGATCCTAGTTGGCTCGACTAGCTTTCTTACCCTTTGCACCCGCCGAGGTAGGTGTGAAGACCCTTGCTCATTTTGCACCACACCCGGACGCAGGTGTGGCGCGCCACTAAGGATGCGACAACCCGATCCTTGCTCACTTGACACCATGCGGTGACGACCCGACCCTTGCTCATTTAACACCGTACCTGGGTTTCGACATGTCGCGTCGCTAAGAGGGTTACGCCCCAACGGGTTTCATCTCCATAAAAGTGGCTACGCCGCGCCTAACACAACCCTCCTTCTTTACCCGGGCTTGGGACCTGCTATGCTGGGACATCAAAGACGCCCCACCATAGCCATAGGCGGAGTTATTTTGTTTTCCTGATATATAAAACAATAAACTTGGCTTCAATGTATGACGGTTACTTAAAAAGGCTCTTGAAATGAGTTACCCTATTGTCTATGGTCACTTTTGTGACTACTACTTAGGATGCTTTTACAAGGATATGTCCATCACTAGTAAAATAGATGTACCAAAAAGGCATCGATCATTTACTATCTATGCTATCCATCTATGGATCATGCAAATATTGCGCGGCCAGGCCGCCGGCATCTTGCATGCTCTATCTACTGCATGCATCTTGCATGCTCTATCTACTGCTAGCAGGAGTAGACTAGCTATAGGTTGGTATTAGTTGGGCATGCATCTGCAGCATTGGTAGTTGGGCATTGCGTAGCTAGCTGTAGCCTGTATATATACTCGTCGTCGTCGTTGGCTTGATCAGATCATCACCCAAACTCCTAGCATATATGTACGTACTGCATCTGCTGCATGATGATCACTACCAATCAACCATGCCGCCCGCCGCAGCAGCCGTGCTTATTAGTCGTTTCCACTATAATTTTTTTACTAGCCACAACCAGTTTAGCTCAAGCTCCTCCTATCCACCATATCTATTTCGACGTTCGTACAAGGACATTTGATGAGCTCCGCCTTGAGATAATAACGCTGCTGCTCACGTTCTCGAGCACGGTACCATACAATCCCCCACATGTGAGGCAGAGATACGTCCTCGGGCCCCGGCGCCTCCATTTCTTCGACGAGCCTCCTGCATGGATCTACATCCATGTTGTCGTCGGGGAAGAGCCAGAAGACAAGGTAACCCTGGCCATGGCCATTGACGACCTGTATATTATTGGATTCAGTAATGGCACTGACCACTGGTACAAGTTCAGTGGCGGAAAATCAGACTCATTCCAAGGTTTACCAGGAGCCGTCACGCTACCCATTGAATATAATTATAGAGATTTGATACACGACGGCCACGAGAATCTTTGGCAGGTGCCTCTAGGGAAAAATTCGGCCACACATGCCACCAAGCAACTAGCAACCTACGACCCTGAAATCACCCCTAAACCCCAACTCCAAGATGGTCTTGTCAGATTTGTAGTGATGATGGCTGAAGGCACGCGGCTCCGAGAGATCCGCGAGACATTCTCGGGCAATAACTGGGAAAAGGAGACTTTCATCTCTGTAGACGAGGCAAAATCTGTGGTCGACTGGGGAACGCTCTCAAAGCTCGTCATCCGGTGGCACCTAACCAGAGCAAGGCGAGGGGGCGCAAAATGGGGTGGAGGTGATTTTAAGAAGCATGCTAACAAAGTGAAGAGAAATAGTAAGGTCAATGGTCCGACCGAAGCTGTCAACAAACTTGATGTCCTGCGAGCTAGTTAGCTAGTTAGTTGTGTTCAATTAATGGAGTGTATTCATTCGCCTGCCCATCTATTCTTTTTTATTTCGATATATACGTCATCCGACCTATTGTAATGGTTTATCATTATTATATATGTAAGCTCTGATTTGAATAAAGTATATCCATCTAATCCAATATTCTCTTACTATGCTATCTATGTGCTCTCACGCTCCAAAATGTTTACTTCGATCAGGTTGTCAATGTAAAACACCAAATAAAATAAATGATTTTTCATTTTTCTAAAAAAATGTCAAGATTTATTTAGATTTTTGTCAAACCTGAGAATAGAAAATATGAGATTTTACAAAAACAAATTACAATTTTAACATAACTAATTTGTTGTGTTCTTTGATTTTTCATTACTTTATTGTTTTTTGGGAAAACTGGAAAACAATAAATTTATATAAAATTCATATAAGCTTCCACCCGGCCGAGTCTGCTGCGCACGCTTTGTGCTGGCCCATCGCGCGGCCTGCTACACCCGCATTGGGCCGGTCTCCGTGCGGTGCTGGCCTGCTGCACCTTGACGTTCTGGATATTCGGCCGGTGTGCCAAATTGGCGACCGCGCGACGCCTCCGAGATGAGTCCGGCCCAACCCAATAGTTGTCCCGCGCCTTCGAGCGGCCTATCTCCTCGGTGGCGGCAGGGGCCGAGTCCAACAGCTCCGCGAACCCTTCGTGACAGAGAAATCTTCCGCGTGGCGTTCAACCAGGTCGCCGACTTCCCCTTGCCGTCGCCTGGCCGCCGCGCGTGCCGCCCTGTCAGGTAGATCCACTTCCCGTTGCGAACTGGGCCGAGCTAGGCAACCTGACCAGCCTCCTCAACGTCCACCCCTCCAACAACTCTCTCCATGGACATCGCTCTGGCACCGGAGCTGGCGCAAGCACTGTCGTCTAATGGCGGAGACAAGCACAAGCATGCTGTCACCATAGTGCTAATCTCAGTCGGCGCGGCGGTGACCGCAGCTGTGCTGGCGTCCTTGGCCACGTGCGTGGGGTGCGCCTTGACGTGTCATCGGAAGAAGAAGAAGAAGAAGGACAAGGACGAGAAAATAGCGGTGCGTGGTCGTGGGGCGGTGAAGGTGGCCACAACCGCGCCGGTTGTAGTGCTGAAGCGGCCGCTGGCAGACCTGGAGGCGGCCACATGAGAGTCTTTGCAAAACCGACTCTCTAAACCGTAACTTGCCAATTGGTTAATACTATAACTGGCCACTTGCTCAAAACATAACTTGATACATACTCAAAAGTAAACTGTTCACACTAACGTACTTGCTGAACGAATAAATATCGTTGCCCCCAAGTGATTAGGGATCGTAGCGTGGGTTGCGATTAGAGGGTCGCACCTTTGGTTGGGATTAGGGTTCGCAGCGTGGGTTGTGATTAGGGGTTGCAACGTGTGTTGTGATTAGGGTTCGCAACAAGTATTATGATTAGGGGCGACAACTAGCATGGTGATTAGGGACCGCAGCGTGAGTTGTGATTAAGGTTCGCAACAAGTACCCAATTTTTTCTAGCAATTTAGATTATCTTTTTGTGGCAAGTTACTTTAAATGAAAATTAAATTCATTTATCTTGTTGTGGCAAAGTTGTTGAGATGCTATTGACATTACCTTCCACTAGGTTTTCATTATTGATGCAAGCATTACCAATGTTTTTCTAGGCGCTAGGCGCTCTCTAGGCGGTGACCCACCGCTTAGAGCCTAGGCGCGCCTAGGCGGGATTAGGCGTTTCAAGGCGTTTTTCTAGGCGGTAGCTAATATATGCATAAATACGTAAAAGAAAAGGAAAAAATAGCAGATTAATGATCATAGAATGGGGAGAAAGAGGAGAGGCCCAATAACGGCCCAAGTCTCCCACGCCCAAGTCTTATCCCCTCCCTTCCCATCCCAGCCCCGTCTCTCACCCTCCCAGCCTCCTCTGCTCGCGCTTGCTTCCATCGCTCGCCCCGCGCCGCCGCCATCGCCCGACGCCTTGCGCGTCGCCTCCTCCCCACCGTTGTCGTTACCGCCCGTCACGTTACCTACCTCCTCACCTAACGCTTTGACGTCCGAGCCGCCCCATGCGTCCCCTCGCTTTGGCGGATATGCCCGCCGCCACCGCTTCGACGCCGCCTCTTCACCCACCGGCCCTTGTTGCCTCACGTTAGCTCCTCCCCATCGTCTCCCGACCTCAAGGCCGCCCCACGCGTCCCTTCCCCACCAGTCCTCTTCGCCCACCGCCTAGATGTCCGCCTCACCCCCTAGGCCCCGCGGGAGGCCTCCGCCCAGCGCCTAGTCGCGCCTAGGCGACCGCGGAATGTCGCCTTGTTTTTCACTGAGCATTACATTAATAGCGCACCTTTGGTTGGGATTAGGGTTCGCAGCGTGGGTTGTGATTAGGGTTCGTAACATGGGTTGTGATTAGGGGTTGCAACGTGTGTTGTGATTAGGGTTCGCAACAAGTATTATGATTTGGGTCGACAACTAGTATGGTGATTAGGGACCGTAGCGTGAGTTGTGATTAGGGTTCGCAACAAGTACCCAATTTTTTCTAGCAATTTAGATTATCTTTTTGTGGCAGGTTACTTTAAATGAAAATTAAATTCATTGATCTTGTTGTGGCAAAGATGCTGAGATGCTATTGACATTACCTTCCACTAGGTTTTCATTATTGATGCAAGCATTACATTAACCGTGATAAGTGTTCCTATATCACATCTATATTTGAGACTCAGTTAACCTGCAGTACCAAAATTGTATTTTAAGTTTTAGTTTTATTTATATTTTTTCATTATATGTATTTTAGTTTTTTAGTTTTTTTTCCATTTTAGTTTATTTTTATTTTTTTATTGCGTCTACTTTAGTGTTAAGTTTCTATTTGTCAATTTTAGTTCTTTTGTCTATTTTAGTTTCAGTTTAATTTTCTAGTTGTCAATTTCATTTTCATTATTTGGTAGCTATGTTGCCAATTTTAGTTTTTGTTTTATTTCTAATTTTTTAGTGTTTCCTTTTGTTTCTGTTTTATGAGGTTTTTTAAATGATTTTTATTTTCAGTTTTCAATATTTTTAGTTTTATTTTTCAGTCAAGTTTTTTTTAAATATTTTAGTTTTAGATTTCAACAACCCTTTTAGGTTCGAATGTCTTTCTAAATTCTACACCTATAATGTATAAGTTGTTACAAAAGGATATGTGGCAAAACCGTCTGGAATAACATATTTTCGGAGGAACTCGTCCTAGACACTAAGCACCCCAAAAGTGGCCTAAACTAGGTAGTTCCGTCGAGCACACCTTAAGGAAAAACTTGAAACAATCTACGTTTTACATCCAGAATTCAATAATGAGTACGAGCTTACAGTACTTAGTCTATTTTATACCACATAGAGTCTTGGAAATTATTTATTATAATACCAGAGTTCAGAGTGCAATAATTAAACTGCGAAAATGTAATAATCATCTAGCAAAAACGATACACGGATCCATCTGTGCCCACCAGAAGAATCCTCCACACAAGAGCTAACTCCTCAAGCGGCACTTGCAACAGGGTAAAATAAACCCTAAGTACACAATGTACTCGCAAGACTTACCCGACTAGTGAGAATAGTTTTCCCGACTCTCAAGGATATGATAGGCAATATGGTTTGTTGTTTTCTTTTGTTTGCGAAAAGCATTACTAATAGTGCGTCCTTAGGGTCAAGTTTTATTAGCAGTCATGATAACTCCATTAGCTAACCATTCTAAGTAAGCACATGTTCTACCTTCAAGCAATGGTTGAGCAATCAGAACCATTTTACTAACTTTCATCTTCCAGTTCTTACTATGGTGCTAGACCATAAGCAAGTCGTACCGTCTCACGGAAATGACGATTCACGAACCAATGTATCCCAGCTGGATACCCCGAAACACACGGCCCACTTGTACCCTAGGTATAACCGAGACCAACCCATTCCACTCCTGTCGAGGGGTCTAGGTCCCTGTTCAAACTTGGACTCCAAGCCCCAACACTTGAGACCCGGTCTCAGTATAGTGCTTAGACCTCCACCTTTCCCCGCCTGCATTCAGTCAGTCCGAAAAGAGCCGAAACCCATGACAAGAGCACAACAAGCATTTCCGCTCCCATAAGCAAGTATGTGCTCAGGATAATAAGTCTGTGACCTGACTACCATCCACAGCAACGGACGGTCCTCAATCGACACGGACAGGGAAAACAGTGTAACCAAGAAGCCTCGTGGCCGCGGGACACAACTATTTACACCCACTAATACCCATACCATATCCTTTCCCGGTCTCCATTTTCTCTTCATCATTTTATTATGAGAGTAATAATAATCACCTATTATGAGTAACAGCAGGTTACCCACGCTACCGACAGCCTAAGCATAGCAGCTACTCGAACCTGCACTAGTAGGACTCATAGGGTAGATATATATATGCATGTGGTTTCCATAAATTTTTCTACAACATAAATGCACAACACATATATATATACGGTGAATATGAAAAATAGAGATTATGCATCGGGGCTTGCCTTGAGCAGGCGTGGTGTCAGCTGAGTCAGTCAATGGCGACTCTAGGACCTCCTCCTACACGAGAATCTCGTCCTCGTACTCCTTGATAATCTCCACGAACTCATGCTCGCCGATGGTCACGATCTCCGTCGACTCGTTCTCGATATGCATGCGATGATAATGATGCAGCTATTTAGTATTTAGGCAACAACAACTCTTAAAATAAGGACACCAATGCCATACTAACAAGCTAACTCTAATGACTAAGATATTAAGCTAACCATCAGCTCTATCAAATTAAGTGTCAAGCTCATCCAAACAAGTGCTTAATTTCATAAGTCAATACTAATCTCTTATTCATATTAAAGGTTTAATGGACATTTAGCTACCCTAATAAACAAGCTATCTTAAGGCTACAAAAATTATAGTAAGCATATAATAATACAATGAAGCTACTGTAAAAATTTCAGGATCGAAGCTATCACCAATTTAGCACA